AGTCCTGGGGAGGCAGAGGCAAGACCAAGAGTTCAAGGTCAGCTTTGGCAACAAAGCTAGTAAAAAGCAAGCCTGGGCTCCATGATGTCCCAGTCAAGAAAGCCAAAAAGAAAAACACTGTATCCTTCTCAATTAGCTAAACTTTTAGCTGTCTTGTACTCTTCAACCTCCTCAGTGAATTACAATGTAGCTAACTGCTTTAAATTACTCAGAGACTTCATTCAAACCTTTATTACTTGCCCTTTTCTTGGTAGGACACAGGTTGACAACTCCTAGTCCTTCAAATAATCTCTTAGCTTTCTGACAAACCTTTTCAGTTTTTCTGTGTGTGTGTGTGTGTGTGTGTGTGTGTGTGTGTGTGTGTGTGTGTGTGTGTGTTGTGCGCGCGCGCGCGCATCCTTGGTCTATCTGGCATAGATAATTGACTTTCCCCCTTAGCTATTGGTCCTATCTACCTAACACAAACACAGAAATCATCTTTAATCTTTAATATTTGTTTATTTATGAGAGGCATTATCCCTGCACACATTTGGAGAATAGAGGATAATTTGTAGCAGTGGATTCTCTACTATGTGCATCCCAGGAATGAAACTAAGTTGACAGCAAGGACCTTTACCCACTAAACCACCTCATGGGACCCAATCTTTTTCTATTCTATAATCTATTTGTCTTATTCTACTGATAATACTCCACAAATCTCTCCTACATCTCCTCCTCCTCTACACTCCATGATATTCCTCACCAGGAATAGCTTTTTAACTAACTGGTCTTGCTTGTAGTTGTCCCCATACCTAACACAGCTTTCATTTCTCTGACAAAATGATAGGTCTAAGCCAGCTCTGATTGTATTGCAAGATGGTGGTAGGTTATTTTGTTTTTGTTGTTTATTTTATGTGTGTAGGTGTTTTGCCTTCCGGTGTCCTCTGACACCAGAGGAGAGTGTGAGATCCCCTGAAACTAGGGCACCGTATAAGTGCCCAGAATTGAACCCAGGTCCTCTGGAAGTGCCATCTCTCCAGCCCTGCTTTCATTTTTCAACTAAAATTTCACAGCCTTCATGGTGAGGTTAAAATTCCTAAGCTTGGTTTACAAATAGTGATTTTACTTCATTTTCCTGTTATAAAGCTGTGTTGTTGATGTACAGAAGCGGGGCTAATCTTAATTGAAATATGCTAAAGTGTAAAAATACCACCACATTCTGAAGACTTTGTATGAAAAGGAGAATGTTAAATATCTTAGTATTACTGCTTTATATTGATCACATGGTGAGATATTATTTTTAAATGCTGGATTAATTTATATTATGAATCTCAATTTTATTTTTTCTTAAGCACAGCTACTAGAAATTTCAAAGTACATACATGGTTTGTTTTTCAATACAACAGCACGAGGATAAAATATGTTTCTTCTTTTTGAACTTAGTTGATTCATATATTATTCAAGATTAGCTTGAGTAACTCACTAAGATTCCAGAACATCCCTCTGAGCCAAGAATCCAAGTCTTGAATCAACAAGCCTTCCTCTGTACTTTCTTCCCTCAGAGGCACCTGTGCACACACCTGTCATATATCACGCCATGTGGTAATTACCAGGTACCAGATAGCTCTCCTCCTAAAGTACAAGCTCCTGACAAAAAAAAAAAAAAAAAAAAAAAAAGGATCATTCTACATATACTCAGGTCCTACCACCCTGCCTAACACTTTGAAAGACACTCAAATACTTGTGTTTGTCCAAATGTGAATTTGGCCTGAAAGTTACAAGAACATTCGAACTCTCCAAGGAAAACCAGCCAGCTGGGAAGAACCCTGTTCTAGAAGCTCTAATGATGGAAGGAATAGGGCATAGGAATCACAGTAAAAGACAAAGGAGAAAATAAAGTTCACATCCACACTTGCCTCTTACAGTGAAAATGGGGATTTGCAAAAGTGATATGGAACCTTGAACTCACACTTGGCGTGCCAGGGACCACAGTTTGATTCCTAAATTGCTTTAACAATCCATCCAACAAAAGAGTATGACTTGGCAGGTTACAACACAAACAGCTAGAGCCCAGCACCTGTTCCTCTTAAACAGCACATCATTACAGTTAAAAACAACAACAAATCTCTCTCATGCAGCAAATGCTAATCTCATGATGCTTCACCATGGAGCAGTTTAGAAGAGTTATTATATGAAATGTGCCAAAGCCTGAATTTATGGTTGGTGCTTATTTGGCAAATATGGTTGGCACTGTTAGCTGTTAAAAGGCATGTATGCAAATAAGCAAATAAAAGTTTTTAAGCTCTCAGACTTAAATATTTACATTACTGTAAATGTAAAAAGATAAATGTTTATATGCATACACATATAATGTATTTCAGGAACAAACCTTTTAATGTGACTGTCAGAAAACAGTTACAAAGTGGCATTATTTCTTTATGGGCCTCAGGATAGACTCTTAAAATGAATTCTGACAGAATGTTAATGGGGTACAAATACCCCAGCAGAAGTTCCTCTGCTGTTACTAGACAAAATGAATAGTCAGCATGATAAAAACTCAGAATAAGCTTATCTTTTCCTCTCACCAAAACACTTCGCACAACACTGGAAACCAGCCAATCATAAATGTCCGTCCCTACACATAAGGTGGGAGAAAGGAGGGCTGCAAATCAAAAGGCTTTAAAGAAATTTCCCCCACAGAACACAGTCATGTTACTCTCTCCAAAATAGACATGATAAAATATTTTCTCATCTTCCCCTCTGACATCTATGGGAAGGGGATGTTTGTTTTTTCACATAGTTTGTGAGCTGGTCATTGCCAGAACTTACTGGCAATGGTATGAACTCTGCTTCCACTGTTAACTGTTAATCTCTCTGATAAGGCTACTAACTCCTATCTTGGAAGCCAAGGAAATGTATCTCACCTGCAATTACAGTTTACTGAAAAAGCCACCAAAAAAGTGCCAGGCCCTCTGGAAAGTAATTAGGGTAGCCAGTGAATTGAAAGACCTAAACTGCTCTTGAGATTACAAAAGAAGCCATCATGAAGTGAGTATTCCAAGATTGCTCATGGAAAGTTTTACCCTTGTGGATAATTCAAGTTTGGGCTTTCGGGGTTTTATTTTTATTTTTTCCACTTTGCAGAGAGCAGTATGTGTTCTCTTGACTACACACTTCATTTAGCAGGGGAGGTAAAGGAGAGACGCTGTGGATGAACAAAAAAAAAAAAAAAAAAAAAACCACCAGGCCGCCAAACAGAATACTCAAAGGAATTTCAATTCAGGTGAAAAGGCTGTTCATGTACATCATCCAGTAACCTAAAAATAGTCTTTTATGTAAGTCGCCAAGTATTTAATTGAAAGTGTAATCTTACCACATTCAACAGAGGCAAAGAAAAATGTACTGGGTTTTCTATAGTAAGGCCAATAAAGATGAAATCATAATTTTCCTCTAACTCATCTCTATCCATCAACGCCAGCCTTCCAATAACTCCATTCCACAGCTCTGATTCCTACATTTGAGTCCTTTAAAAAGCGAACTGCAGAAATGAGACTGGGGGGGAGGGAGGGACGAGGACTCCTCTTTTCTATTGCTCTCAGCAGTCAGTCATTGATGTAGTCCAAGAACGAAATCGAGCTCTCTCACTGACGGTGCATAAGATGGGGGAAAAAACGAGAAGGGGACCCAGTTCAAATGGCAAGTCATCTTCGAAGGAGAAAAGGAAAGTCTCAAGAATCCTTAAGTCAAAGGGGAAAAAAAAAAAAAAAAAAAAAAAACTGTCTAACCCAACCTCTCAAAATCCCAAACCCCTAAGCAACCCAGTAAGTCCGGGCGCGTTAGGGGTTCGCCAGCCAGAGCGTGAAGAGATCAGGCACAGAGACAACGATTCCGTCCTGACTGATGCTACAGGGCTGAGCCCTACCCTCCAAGGTCTGGGAGCTGGATGACCGTACAGACTTGGCAGAAGTCCTTCCTGCCCCAGCCTCTCGCGTCCAGCTCCTCTAAGGCTTCACTTTCCCCTGGAGCCAAGCAGCCCAGCCCCGGGAAGTCCCTAGCCGCCAGGTTCCAACTTTCCCTCCTCTTGGGGGCGCCGCGCTACCGGGACCATCTCAGCCAGGGTAACGAGGCCTGGGCCGACGGGGGGCACGAAAGGGCTCACGGCGCCCGCGGGGCGCGTGGGTGGCCGGGACGCAGCAGCCCGCGCCCTGCAGGACGCACCGGCTGCCGAGCCCCTGCGGCGCCGCCCAGTCCAGATTCCCCTAGGTCCGCGCGTCCTCACCTCGCGGCGACCCTGGCCCCATAAGCCAACGCGCGTGGGAAAGGGACCGGGGGTACGTGGGCAACCCTGCCCCCGTTACCTGAGCGGAGCACACGCCGTTGCAAAGATCATCATTGCCGCCCGTCCCGTCCGCTTTCTGGTGATCGCAGCCGCCGCCACCGAGCAACTGACACAACTAACTAACTACTCGCGGCCGCGGAGTCCACAGCGCGCTCCCGGCCGCTCGCCGTCCACTCAGCCTACTAGTCTGCTCGCTCCTCCCAACCCCGCACGCCGCCCCGCCGCGCGCACCCTCGACCGCTTCAGTTCTTGAGATAGCGCGCGCGCGCACCAAAGCTCGGCGTGTCGGAGCTCTCCTCTCAGCCCCATGGGAGGAGCTGCCAAGAGGCCACGCCTCTCGGCGTGCCAATATCCGGAGAACAAGACCTAGAGAAGGTCTGATTGGTCGGGGGGCGTGCCCAAAACTAGGGGGCGGGGCAGCCGGGACCTTGAGCCCACGTGATGAAGAATTTGGGTTCAATTAAACGCCAGTGAAAACTAACAGCGCGGTTTTGGACCTTTTCGGGGCCTAATCATCTTATGTCAACCAGTGGTCAAGTACAGAATAAGTGTTCTCAAAGGCTCCAGTATATAAAAATTGCCAATTTAAGTTCCACTATTTTTTGAGAGCCTTAGGTATGACAAAAACTACATTTCCCAAAAACCTTCGCGAAAGTGAGTCTCACCTTGCGTAGTCACGTAGTCCTTCGCCGCATTGGACAAAATAATCCCTTCATTTCTCTGAAAATATCGGGTATAATATTTCATGTCTCTCCTCACCGGAGCAATTCTAAATACCACCACGATAAGAGAAGTTACGTATCTGGAGGTGACTAAGTGATTAGGTAAAGAGTAAGAAAAGACACCAAAATAAAGTACTGCGGAGGAATTTCTGTCAAGCTGTGAGACGACGGAGTGAAGAGTGAAGGCGATTGAGAGGGGCTGAGGGAATTGTCCTCTGTGCGAGGGACTTTCATTAGTCCCCAGGCCCCTGCCTGCTCCTACCGTCAGCAGGTTAGTAAGCAAGACGAGCATGGGGGTGGCCACAGTCGAGATGTCCTTCCCCCTCTGAAGATCAACCCTCTTTTGCTGCTGCTGTTATTGGTTTGTCTTGGTTTGAGGCCCACTGAATGGGGGCGCCTCACTTCCGGTTGGGGGAAGGGAGACATGTTGTCATAGGGGAGGGGGAAATATAACTCACTTCCTGTGGGGTAGAATGATGTTTGGGGGGTGTCCAAGCCACTTCCCGTGCTGATGAGAGCCAGAAAAGGTGTCGGTTTGTGCCATTCTCAAAGACAGTTCCTACAGCCTTGGGTTGTTTTCAGGTCACAAGTTCGGTTCTTCCCCCAAGTTGTTATAATCACCAGGCCACGATCAGAATTTATGTGTTTTGTCTATGTATTATATGGAAAATTTCTGCCCAGCAAGATCTTCTTAATGCTTTCTCCAAAGAATTCAAAACAGCTTGTTAAAATTCTCTGCAAGACTTCGTACTTTGTTGTGTGACTCCTGTGGTGCCCACCCTTGCACCCTAGTCAGGTGTGTCCTTAACTGAGTAAAGTAGTGTGGTCTCTGCCTGGACGTGGAAGCAGGAACTTTTTTACCCACTCTTTTGAAGAGGTAATTTATTAGTTAGGGGACCGAATGCCTCACATAAATTGTGAGGCATTTTCATGTTTGCAAATGGAGAGAATACCTTTGTGCAGTACTCAAATTTAATGTTACATTAATAGATGTAGGTAGTCAGTATGTTACATACTTACATCTGTTAATTTAGGGCTCAATGATTTGCCTGGGAACAGCATCATCAACCTAAATACTGTTTTTATGTAGCTTGTATGTGGTGTTTGTAAAAGATGCATTTTATTGCGTTTCCCCCCCCCTTTGTAATTTAATCGAATTTGTCACAGATTTCAAACTGAAGTCTATTTATAGCTTTAAGACATGGCACAAGGATGATGGGTTCAGCTCACATGCTGAATAAGGAGGAAATAATTCACAAAGAACAAAAGGTGAATAAGACAGAATTTTCTGTTTTCCTTTTCTTTTTTTACAAGAAGCGGTATCTAAAGTGGAAATAAATAACAATTTTGATTCCTTGGCATCTCTTGCCAAGCAATACAGCATATGAGTGTATGCATGCTGGCAGAATCAGTCTATTTGTACTTAATTTTGTAAAAATCTCAACCTATTTTTAAACTTGGGATATCTTGAACCTAAAATTGCACTGTCCAATATTAAGATGAATGTTGCTGGGCGTTGGTGGCACAGGCCTTTAATCCTAGCACTCGGGAGGCAGAGGCAGGTGGATCTCTGTGAGTTCAAGGCCACCCTGCTCTACAAAGCTAGCTCCAGGACAGGCTCCAAAACAATACAGAGAAACCCTGTCCTGGAAAAAAAGGAAAATAAAGAAAGAAAACAGAAAAGGATGAATGGATTTTAAACTAAACATGGAAGTGTTTTTTTACCTTAATGGGGACATGAAAAAAAAATGATTTTTAGTCCTAGAAACATATATCTAGCACACATATGAACTCACAGAGACTGTGACAGCTTGAGCAGGGCCTGCACAGGTCTGCACTAGATGGGGTCCTAGAGCTAAAAAGAGAAGTGGATACATGCCCCCATCCCTCCACAAGCTTTTTCCAGTTGATAGCCTGTTACAAATGAAAAATTAATTTTCTCTAAAGGTGTGTCACTGGGGAAACTAACCACTCGTAAGGATAAGCTCCATGCCCAGTAGTAGATGGCCAAAATAAAATGCACTCAGTACGTATTTATAGATTCAGTGCTTCCCCCCCACCACCACCACCACCTTTATACCTTAGAGGTCCTTTGTGTATATGTATATGTTATGGCTTCCAGTTTCAAGATTTTATGGGATTCCTATGTGTGTGTCTATGAGTTACTTGTTTTTATCCCCAACCCTTTGGTTCTGTTTCTTATTTTGTCCTATTCTGATATGTTATTGTATTTTATTATTAAGGGGGTAGATTCCTATGGGAGGGGAGGAACTTAAAGGACTTGGGAGGGGGAGGGGAAGTAATCAATTATGTATTTTAAAAAAATATTTTCAATGAAAGAAACAAATTATTATTAGACTGGAAGTATTACTAAATGATAGACCACTTGCCCACTATATATAATATGAGCCCCTAGATTTGGGGTCCTATCACCAGTCCTGACAGGAAAAAAATAAAAATAAAATCAGCCTAGCCAGGTAGGTTGATGTATCCCTTTAATCTCAGCACTCAGGAGGCACAGACAGGCAGATCTCAGTTGAGTTCCAGGCCAGCTAGACATACCCAGTGAGACCCCATCTCAAGAGTAAATAATAAATAAATTGGTCTGATGGGCCAGGGATGTAGCTGAGTGGTAGAGCATTTGCCTCATATGAAAGGGCTTCCATTTCGTCCCCAGAGCCACCAATAAACAAAAATTCTGAGATTCTAAAATCAGTTAAAATATTACAAAATTTTGTAGTAGTTAATTTTTTAAAGATTAGGCAAAACGTTATCTATGGTTATTGATAGAAAGTTAGGGACATGTAACACTGCACCAAGTGGATATTAATTGAATAGAGAGAAAGTATTCATTGTCTTCTACATAAATGTAATAATATACTAGATGTAACCACCCTGAAAAATTAACCGTAGTGTTCAGAATTGAAATATGGAAGGATGTTAGAACTAAATGAGAAAGAGGAAAGCTAATGTCATAGTATTAATTGAGGTACAGTATTGGTATTGCCTTTTGGGAACCGCTTTGGAAAGCATGGGAGTTTATTAAATTGATCCTGAAGATATTCATAGAAGATATGCTGTGTAATAGAATGAGACAAATTGCAATGGAGAGACTTGTGCAGCTTGACGAACTGTCTGTTGAGAAGAAAGCAATATAGAAAGTACGTATCAGGAAGATGTTTTGTGATAAGTGACAGTTATTCGTTGGTCCTATCAAAGAAGAAATATTAGATACATTGGTGAAAAATAGAGAAGGAAGCCTGTGCAGCTCAGTCCTCCTCTTTTTAAAGAAGTGTTTCTGTGGAAAGGCTTATCATCTTCTGAGGGATTGTCCCCCTTAATGCCTAGTGTTGCTCTTCCCCCCCCCCCTTACATATTCCTAGTGTCAAAATTAGGAAAATAAAAACCATTTGTAAGCATAATGTTAATAAATTTTAGATTTTAATTTCACTACTTGCCACCTGTGATACAGAAGGTGTTGATTATTTTTAGAGTATTTGGAGTAAGTAACCATTTTCCTTTTCTTAAAGCAGTCATTGCATGCACTGCTTAGAGCATTTTGAAACATTACAATGGTAAGCCAGTATTCTCAAGTCCATCATACTGCAATTTGATCATCCTCAGAAATGCTACATAACACAAACCCTCTTTTCAGCCTTTTGGTTACCCTGTCCTGTAAAACTGATATTAGTGTTGTATAACAGGCAGCTTTACTTGATACCTTGGTGGTGGTGGTTTTTTTGTTTGTTTCTGCTTTGTAGTTGAAAGCTAAAGGGGACAGTCTAGCAGTTTAAATGGTTTTACATTTATTGCTTGGCTGCAATTTATTTCTCAACTTTTGCATATATCAAATGAGAATTCCTTTTACATGGATTCTTGTGATTTCAACAAAAACTGAATACTGCTGTGTATCAGTCATGTTCTAATTTCAAGTACAAGAAATACAAATACCCATATTCTCTTGGAGATTCCTTCCTGATTGATGGATCAAAGCTAGAATTTTGCTTACTTGGTGTTCTTGGGTGAGATATATATTATAATCACTGTTCAAACTGGATTAAGGTGCATTCCTAAATTTGATATCTCTTGATCTTGATTTCTAAGCCATTCTAAAATTTATTTTTAATATTTCCTTTATTGTTACATGTATCATGGTTTTTCTGTTTTAATTTGCTTTGTACTCATTGTGCATGAACAGTAGGGAAAACTGGAGATCAGACTGGCCTAGATCAGAGCTAGTAGTTTATTATGAAGCAGTTAGCTTCTGTGAGTCCCTGTTCCCCTAATCTAAATATGACTCCTTGATGAAAGGACTAGGTGTAGTCCTGGTGGTAAGAATTTGAAGAATGCTATTATGTAACCTAGTGATTCTCAACCTTCCTAATGCTTTGACCCTTTAATAGAGTTCTTCATTATTCTGTTGCTACATCATAACTGTAATTTTGCTACTGTTGCACAGGATCTCTAATATCTGATCCCAGAGGGTTCAAGACCTAGAGGTTGAGAACCACTGCTTTGACCCTCAGGCCCACTTCAGCTATGCTGGCTATTGGGATTCACCCATTTTTCACTTTTAAGCTCACATATAGAAAACAGGGGTAGGTTCATTGACATTCTGCCTTCTGTCAGCATGCTCACTAAGTAGTCAACGTTTGTTTATTCTGAGAATGAAAAATAACACTAATCTCAACTGTTTTCTGAAATGTACTTAATAAAGAATCAATAAAGTACTTTAAATTGTTTTTGGAAGACTATCAATTCATTTTCCCAGATACTGAGGCCCCTTACACTATGACCATGTCTTTCTTTACATTTGAAATGGGATGATGTCTGAGAGGGTTAAATTCTGTAATATACCCAGCCTTTCTCACTTTGCTCTTGTTGTCCTCTGACATACTTCCACTTTTCCTGGGAATTCCCATGTAGTAAAGTCTTGCCCTGTGTTCTTTCTAAGTACCTTCAAGAAATATTTTCTGATATCTGTCCTTGTCTCCCTCTACTCCCAAATCATCTGTGTTCTGTCTATTAATCCTCCAGAGTTTTCTGTGCCTTTATTATTCACTTAATATCCATGTTCCTGATGTTTACTTTAGTTATTATTATTACATAGAGAAATGTCCTCCCAGAGAAGGCTGAATAAACTATATCCTGTTCATCTCTGGGTTTGCTGTCATACCTGGAACAATGTCACTCACAGGCTTTGATTTAATATTTATGGAGTTCAACTGGCACTACGGTTGTAGTGAAATTAAGATGTAACTTTTATATACT